CTGGCCAACGTGGCCAAGATCCCGAGTGGCAGGAGACCCAGACGAACCGCCACGTCGGCGAAGGGCTGGGGCACCTCTAGCCTCGCGGAGGGCGCCCCTAGAGCGACGCGAGGCGCACGGCCGTGAAGGCGGTTCCCGCCCTGGAGGGGGCAGAAAACCTGGAAGACACGGCGAAGCGGCCATAGGACGGCTGCGCGGCGGCGTGCCCAAATCGCGAGTTGTGGCGGGGGCCGAGGGATCGGTGCGACCCGTGCTCTGTGGCGCCGAAGCAGCGGCGTCGGGAAGGCGAGTACCAGCTACCTCGAAGCCATTTGCACCAGCAGCAAAAGCTTCCAGCGTAGCGCCCGACAACGAGGGGGCTGATCCTGGCAGGGACGCGGGGGGGCCCCCGCGTACCCCGAGCGACCAAGGCAGGTCGCGGGAGCTCGAGCCGGACACACTGCTCGCAAGAGGCCTTGCGGTCACAAGACAGGCGTGAGTAGTGTCCGACGACGCCGACGTTGGCCTCCCGCGTAGCCCGAGAGAGTGCAAGACGGCGAGGGCGCTCGCACGGGAGGCACCAGACGCAAGCGGCTCCCTTGGAGGCAGGGGTGGGGCCCCTAAGCAGGGGATCGCCCACTGCCAACTTTCGCTGTCAGGAAGTGGAAACCCAACCGCGGCGTCGGTCGAGCAACGGTTGTGCGGCGGCGGCACCCGAGCGCCCGCCTCCAGGCCAGTGAGGCCAGGAGGAGGCCCCACCTGCCAGACCGTGGGGCCCGGCAGCGCCTCGAACCCAGGCGGCGGGTGGAAGGACAACACTGTCGAAGCGCTCCCTGGCGTAATCGCTGGCGCTGGTGCCGGCGTAGGCGCAGGCGTCGGTGCTGCCACCGTCACTGCTGGCGCTAGGGCTGGCGTCGGTGCTGGCCTCGGTGCTGGCGAAGGCGCTGGCGCTGGTGCCGGCGTGAGCGCAGGCGTCGGTGCCGCCGCCGTCAATGCTGGCGTAAGGGCTGGCGTCGGTGCTAGCGCTGGTGCTGAAGCTGGCGTCGGCACAGGCGTCGGTGCTGTCGCCGTCAGTGTTGGCGTTAGTGCTGGCGTCGGTGCTGCCCTCGGAGCGGGCCGAGGCGCTGGCGTTGGTGCCGGCTTAAGCGCAGGCGTCGGTGCTGCCGCCGTCATTGCTGGCGTTACTGCTGGCGTCGATGCTGGCCTCGGTGCGGGCGGAGGCGCTGGCGCTGGTGCTGGCGTAAGCGCAGGCGTCGATGCTGCCGCCGTCAGTGCTGGCGTCGGTGCTGGCCTCGGTGCGGGCGTATGCGCTGGCGCTGGTGTCAGCGTGAGCGCAGGTGTCGGTGCCGCCGCCGTCAGTGCGGGCATTCGTGCTGGCGTCGGTGCTGGCCTCGGCGGCTCCAACCCTGGAGGGGGCAGGCAGGCGTAGACTGCGGTGGCGGCTGAGGGAGCGGTACGAGCCCCTCCCTGCGGGGCCGCAACAGCATCGCTGGCAGGGCGCATACCTACTCCTGCAGATCCGTCGAACACCGCAGCGTCCGCCGCTAGGGGTGAATGAGGCTCCGCGCGAAGCAGCTTGGCGACGACCGCCGAATGAGCGAGGCTTGGCGGCGGAACAACGGCCGGCGGCCCACCTGGAGGAGAGGGCGGGGTCCGCAGCAGCGGGAACGACGCGGGCCCACCGACTGAAACGTCAAGGCCCGGAGGCGGCCCAGTCTGCCTGACCGCCAGCCCCGGTGGCAACGGGCCCAAACCTGGAGGTGCGCGAATGTCAACGCCTCCGGCGGTCCGAGCAGAAACGTCGGCGGAAGTGGCCGCGGCGATGCCTCTAGACGAAGGCCGGGAACCCGCAGCGGCGGCACAGCCCGTGTGCCCCGCGACTGAAGCCCCCCCGCCCACGGTGGAGCAGGCGGGGCCCAGGAATGGGTCGTCATGCCCAGCGGCATAGGTGAGCCAGGTGGCGGTGTAGAGGCAAGAAGAAGGAGTGAGGGGGAGGTTAGCAGGAAGGTCCCCCTCCAGATCCTGCCTCCTGGGCGCGATTATCTTCGCTGCGCACCATTCTGCTGCATCGGCTTTCAAGGAGCTGTGCGCAAGTCCAGCGGGAGAAGAGTGCACCCTGGCGGGCAAGGCATGCGCGGCGGCTGGGACCCTCGGATCTCGTGCGATCTCGGGCTGCTCGAGTCTCGCAGCACATGGCGTGCAAGCTCCTCCTCGTCCTCCTCCAGTCCTCTCATGGGTCCCCCACTCCGCCACCCCGAAGGTAAAAGGGGAAGAATGGCAGGAGAAAGGAGGAGGGGTTTGAGGCAGCGCAGGCGTCGAACCCGTCGAGGGGCGCCAGGTCGGCGGATCGGCACCGCAGAAGACTGGATGTGCAGCCGCAAAAGCCGTTGGCCAGGAAGCCATTGGCGACAGGCGCCTGTAGGACAGGTGGCCTGACGAGCGCGTGAGCGTCCCGCCTGCAGGCAAGCGGCCTGCAGGGAAGGAATGGCGCGAGCCAAACCTCAAGAGAGGGAGCGCGTGCCAGCACGCACCCGAACGGGAAAAGAACCCCGTGATGCTGCCGACTGGTCGCACGGGACAGTCGGTCTCACCCCACACGAGGGCGGATCGACGGGAAAGTGGACCCCGTGCAAACCCGCGATCGAGGGGGGAGAGTGGACCACCGCCTTGGGCGGCGGCCCACGCGTGGTCCGAGAAGACGGCCGCCACCGCGAAGAGGACGATGTTGACCTGAGCGGCGGGGGCCGGCGCAGGCCCCTGGCGCCCCCCGCCGCGCGGGCGCGGAGGGGGGCGGAGGGGGCCGAAACGGGGCAAGCTGGGGCCGAGAAGCTGCAGAGACTGCTAGGGCGCGAGAGGCTGGAGAATAAGAGCGTGCATGATGATGATGATGATGATGATGATGCTGATGATGATGATGATGCTGATGCTGATGATGATGCGGATGATGATGATGATGATGATGATGATGATGGCGATGATGATGATGATGATGATGATGATGATGATGATGATGATGATGATGAGGATCCTGGGCGCTCGCGTGACCTGACCTTGTAGATCTTGTTACAAGACTGACACGAGAGATCTCGAGGCTCGCGGCTACAACTTGCCTGCGCAAGAGGACGGCTGAGAAAGTGAAAAAAAACATGGCCCTGCCGCACGTTCGTGACTTGGGAAAGCTGAAATGGTGAGAATCCCATAGCCCTGCCACACGCTCGTGATTGCGGAAGCTGAAATGTTGAGACCACCATTGCCCTGTTCAGAGTGTTTGATGCTGTTGCCAATCAACATAAGATGATAGCAACTTCAACTCGCAACTTCCACCGGGGATTATCAAGTTCGGCCTCCGCGCCCTCTCCACAATTACATCCTATTGACACGGGTTCAAAACGTTAGAGGGGGTGAAGGGGTGAAGGGGGGAGCGGGTTAGTTGTCCCCCTCCGAATCGAGGGTTTATCTGAGACGAAGGCAGGGTTAGCAGGGGGCGATCCCAATCCCCGACTTTGTTGGACTGTCGGCGAGCTAAACAACGGGGCCCAATTCGGGGATGTTCGATGGGGAGCGTCCATCCTCGATAAGGGTGCGCTCGAATAGCCCCCTGGGTGAGGATCGCAGGATCAGTCGGCATCGGATCGGCATCGCCAGGATGCACAACAACACCAATGTAATCATTGGTCCAGATCGGATCGCTGGACTGTCGGAATCGAGCCAGATCGGGCCCGCTATCGGGCTCGCTGAAACCGATATCGAATCGGATCCATCGGATCGGAATGGACCCTGAGGGGTCATAAGAGAAACCTCCATGGGACCGAAGATGCCGACGCCGCCACGCTCCCAGGCCTTTCACCCCAGCGCGCTCCGAGCAGGATCTCGAAGCGAATCTGGCCGTGGCAACGGGGGCGTACTGGAATCGCAAGGCCGCGCACGGCGACAGCACCACTGAAATCCGGCCGAGCCGACCGCGCAACCGAAACCGACCGACACCGGCAGGCACCGACCGACCGAAACCGAAGGGCGCAGTGACGCAACAACGATAGAATAACAAACGAACCAAGCCGAACCGACCGAACGCAACCGACTGCGACGCAGCCGACCCGACCGAACCGCGTACAGCCCACCAGACCTCCGACGTCGGGATTTTTCAACACCTTGGAGCCCGTGGACGTCTGGACCACTTCCCCGGGACTGGCTTCTCATCCCGAGCAACTGTCTGACGGCCCCACGGGGTTGGGTAATGACCCACGGACGCCGAAAATGATCACAAACTCCCGTGGCGCTTTATCTCGAAAGAGAGAAGGCGCCTGGGCTCGGGGGGTGCGTTCTGTCCAGAATGTCCAGCCATGGCGAACCCAGTCATGGCGACGAAAGGCCGAGGTAAGGCCAGGTCGGGTCAAGCCGTAAGCTGCGGCAGCCCATGGGCACGCGCACGGGGCATGGGCCAGGACCCCGTCTTTGACGGTATCCGCCCTGCAAGCTGCACAACGCAGACTGTGGATGTGCATGCATAGATCAGCGGTGCTTCGAAGGAGGGAGAAAGGACGTACAGTCGGGGCCCTTCCACAAGAAACCTCCCACAAGAAACCTAACCAATAGACCCTAGGACCTCCATTGATTTTTGGTGTGGGACCGTCACGCTCTCCATAGCAAAACCATCGAAACCCAAGAAACCTTTGGCACCCTGGAGGCAAGCAGGGTATTTCTTGGCATGGGTCTGCTCTGTACGAGGGGAGGAGGGGAGGGACGCAGGACGAGCAAGGACGAGAGGCCCCCAGGAAGCCCCCGGCAAGCCTTGATCCTCGAAGCCGTGTACTTTTGCTCGCAGCGGGGGGGGAGGAGGAAAAAGAGGAGGATGAGGAGGAGGAGGAGGAGGAGGAGGAGGAGGAGGAGGAGCGAGGAGCGAGGAGCGAGGAGGAGGAGGAGGGAGACAGGAGAAGGAGGATAAGGAGGAGGAGGCCCGGGCCTGCAGAGCCGCCCATCTCTGAGCGGGCGGCGGGCTACCCCCGCGGGCACCCCCTGCGCGCCTGCGTGCTGGCGAGCTCCGCCAGGGCCGCCTGGAGCTGGGCCGTCTCGTCCTTCAGCTCGGACTCCTCCTCCTCCTCCTCCTCCTCCTCATCCTCCTCCTCCACAATTACACAATATAAAAATACTCTCCCACTTCCCTTGATGGCGTCCCGAAGATATCCGACACCCCCCCACGTATTGTTGTTTTACACAGGATTCCCGGGAAACGGGTTTTCGCTTGTGTTTTTTCCAAAAATGCTGCTCTCGCTGAGGCGCCGGCCTCATTTCTGCTCCCGAATCGTTCCGAATCGTGCTCCCGCTGCAGCGTGGGCCTCATTTTCGGATCGGTGTTTGGCCTCCGTCGTTCAGGATGGCGTTCTCGCCCCAGCGCGGGCCTCTTTCTCGCGCGCCCATCCGCCCGCCACCACCGCGCCGCACCACCACCACCACCACCACCACCACCCACCACCACCACCACCAGCACCACCACCACCACCACCAGCACCACCATCACCACCACCACCACCACCCACCACCACCACCACCACCACCACCACCACCACCACCACCACCACAACCACACACGCACGCACGCACGCACGCACGCACGCACGCACGCACGCACGCGCACCACCACCCACTACGCACGCGCGCGCGGAGCCACAAGTCCGCTACGACACGCGTCCGCGGATAGAGACAATCAGCGCCATGGTAAGGGATGGGAGGGAGGGGTAGGACGTCAGATATGACGCGAGCGCACCTAGCTTGTCCCCCTCCTTCTCCCTCTCCTCCTCCTCCTCATCCTCATCCTCCTGGGCCCAGACACCTCCAGGACCATGTTCCACCCGTCACGTCTGGAGGCGGGACCTCAGACGCATTCGCGTCTGACCAGCACTGGCTGGATGGCCGCTGCGCCAGGAACTGGGTGTGGGCAACGAAGCGTGGCCGCGATGTGGCAGGCACTGAGCAAGAACCGAGAGGCGCGCAGCAGGAACAGGCGTGGCAATGTTCTCGGCGCTCCTCCTCCTCCTCCTCCTCCTCCTCCTCCTCCTCCTCCGCCACCTCTGGAGATCGCCCGAATGGGGGTGAGGTAGATGACGGCGGGGGCTCCCGCCGCATCACCGATGCATTGGCGACGTCGGCAATGCATCGGCGATGTCAGCGTGAAGCAAATCGGATTATATATCAAGCTGCATCGCAGAGGGCTGAACAAAACAACAGTTTTGAGATGCCATGCTGCACGTCGAGGCTTGAAGCAGACCTGGTAGCCAGGTCTATGAGTCTGGAGAGCTGCTTTCAGCACTCGAGGAAATTGGAGGTCAGGGTCCTTCCCATCCTCGAAGATCGAGAATCGACATGCGTTCGGAGGTCTGGAGAGTCAGGATCCTCCCCCTCCTCGAGGACCGAATGTTCAGGTTTATTGCGCGCTGGCAGACCCGGATGCCTCCTGAGACCTCAACCTCTGGAGACCTCTCAAGCAGGGACCGGCCCGTTCCGGCATTCCTATAGTGCTACCACGAAAGGTTCTTAGAACCCAAGAAATGTTTTAAGAACAGAAACAATTTTCTTAGAACATAACCCGATGTGCTAAAACAAGACAGTCCCAGCCAGGAATGTTCTGAGAACAGTTTGTGGAAACCAAACAAGGTTCTTAGAACATTGCTTGGTAGGCCTATAGGCACGCCAGGACGCTTCGCCACTGCTTGAACCTCTGGCCGGCGGTCTCCGGCGGTCAGTCTCCGGCGATCTCCGGCGCTCCCTGGCAGGCCTCTTGCGGTTTTCGGCGATCTCTGGCGGTCTCCCGCGCGAAGCCAGCTGCGCTCGGCAGAGGGGAGGAAGAGGGGGAGGAGCTGGAGGGAGAGGAGAGGAGAGGAGAGGGAGAGGGAGAGGAGAGGAGATGGAGAGCGAGTGGGAGGGGGAAGGGGAGGGGGGGAGGGAGATGGGGGAGGGAGGAGGCAGGAGGGTGAGAGCAGGAGGAGGAGGAGGAGAGGAGGAGGAGGAGAGGAGGAGGAGGAGGAGGAGGAGGAGGAGGAGGAGGGCACACAACGCTGGGGAGTTCGTGGGGGGCGAACTCTCGCCAGGCGCGCGCCAGGCGGGGCACGCCCGGCCTCGCGTCTTGACGATCCTGGATCTACGCCATTCCTGGGATTCAATACCGCGAATCAACGTACTGATGCACCCTCATGATCCTGAATCCTTCCAAATCACCATCTCATACGTTGATCATGGGAACCCGTGAGACTCTTGCAATTTGTTGTAAACAAGATGTGTGTGGCGCTACGGCGAAAACCGCCCTCAGCCCGTGAAACTCTTTCAAATTCTTACACCGAATGTGCGCGGCGCTAATGCGAAAGCCGCATTTTGAAGACGAACCGCCCTCAATATGTGAAACTCTTGCAATTGAATAAACCAAATGTGCGCGGCGCGAAGGCGAGAACCACATGTTGAAAAAGGCCCGCCCTCTACCCGCTAAGCTCTGGCATATTCAAAACGAATGTGCACGGCGCTAAGGCGAGAACCACATTTTGAAAACGGCCCGCCCTCAATCCGCAAAGCTCTGACAAACATTCCAAACGAATGTGCGCGGCGCTAAGGCGATAGCCACAGTTTCAAAACGACCCGCCCTCCATCTGTGTAACTGTTGCCAATTGTTTAGCTTCAGGGTCATAGATGGTGAAGAAATCTCAGGCGAAACGCTTGGTCCGCCCTAAACTGGCCTCGGGATGCGACAGGAAGAAGTTACTTCGAAGGAAAAGGAATGGAGGAGGAGGAGGAGGAGGCAACGTCTGAGCAACGTCAAAAAAGTAGAGGAGGAGGAGGAGGAGGAGGAGGAGGAGGAGATGGCGTCGACGGCTCATGCGGAGGTTCCCAGCAATGTCGTGGCTCATGCCTCCAGCCACCCGGAGCAAAAACCCAAATGCCGAACACTCGCCTCCAACATTGCCCAAGGCGGCCTCCAGTACGTCGAAAATGGCCCCAAGATGCCCCTAAGACGGCCCAAGATGCACCCAAGACGGCCTCCAGGAGGCCTTCATGTATTTTCAATGTGTTAGATGCTATTTCGGGCTTCTGACAGTCGAAATCGACTCCAGATGCGTCCAAGATAGCCCCAAGACGGCCTCAGAACCATTCAAGAGGGCCCCAAGACGGGCCAAGAGGGACGACCCCAATAGGGCTCCAAGACGGTCCCAGAGACTTCCAAGACGGCCGTGAAGCAACCCAAGGAGGACCCCAAGACGGCCCAGAGAGGCCCCGAAGATGGTCCCCGAAGGCCAGGCTGCCAGAGGCCCCAAGAAGGCCCCACGACGCCCCCAAAAAGTCCCCCAGGAGGCCCCGCGAGGCCCCTTAGAGGACCCTTGGAGGCCCCTCGGAGGCCTCCGAACCAAGGAGGCCCATACTTCCTCTCCTCCCCTTCCTCTCCGCAGTGTTCCACTCAAGAGTTTCCACAACGGATGGGGCTCATCAGTTTGGCCAGAGCTTGTCCCAACGTTTGGTTTCACAGGTCTTTCCACAAAGCACAGGGCGGCGGCGGTCACCGTGGGCGTCTTCGATTGGCAACATTGAATTTATATACAAACGCGTTCCACTACTCGCAGAGTGACGATTCGCAAGTGGCCTCGAATCCGCTGCGGGGGATCTACGATACATCACGTCGAGGCGAACGTGTGTGATTTGTTGTTTCTGACTCCGGCTGCTCGTGGCGAAAGTCTTCCGCCCCTGAGTGCTCGCCCCTCCCCCCCCCGGGCCGCCTTTTCCGTTCCCCTCCTCCTGCATGCCAGTCAACTCTCTTTGTAGTGCATCGCTGCCGCGCTGGAGGGGGTTGCCCCGCCTCGCCGCCGACAAAACAGTTCTTTTGTTTCTGACGTTTGCGAGCAGGCACTCTGGGAGTCGTGGGACGCGACGCGCTCGGGAAAGTTAGGCAGGCCCCAGAAGCCCTGGGCAATTACGCCGACGTCGACCCGCCTGCGCGCACGAGGGGGGGCGACGCGGGGGGGGCGGCGTTCCAACAAAACACTGAGCTTCGTTTAATCGATCCCTCCCCACGGGCGTGGCCTGGGCCCCAATGGCCGATGTTTTATCCCCCTGGATGAAGATAGAGGCTGTTCCCTTCGAGTTTCGAGGGGCATATCCCCAACTAGGATGGTGGGATGGTGGGGATCTGGACGGGGACGCAGAAGGGGATAGAGATGCACGGCTTCCCCGGGGGCCGTAGGCGACCCGAGGAGGAAGAGGAGGAGGAGGAGGAGGAGGAGGAGGAGCAATAATAATAATAAGCGGCGTGGAGGCGCGCAGAGTTCTCGACTTCATCTGTCTTCTCGCGGGGACGGCGGCACAGCGGCCTACATGTAATATGGAAGGAAACTGCTAACCAGTTTCACGATACGGAAAACGAGACAAAGCTGAAACGCTACACGGATTTTAAACTCGGCGGCCAGCCGAAGCTGGGAAAGTCCAGGAAGGCACTGGGAGGGGCCAAGGTAGGCCCCACCAGGCCGAACGCAGGCCCTGGGGACAACCGCGCTGACTAGTCGAGCGCCCAGGCTGGAAAAAAAAAAATCACAGACGCACACAATATTCGACTGCAAGGAGGGGGGGGAGGAGGCAAGGGCGGCGCCAACAACAGGCGCGGCAGGCATCCACAGGCCTGGATGACCCAGGCGCTCGCGAGGGCGTCCCACCGCACGTCGCCGATGTACGGCAGTAGCTAGGTGAGTGGTTGGAGTAGGTGGAGCTATGCGAAGCACGCATGTCCCCACCGCCTTCACAGGAGCCGAGGCCGAAGCCTTCCAGGCAACTGGAGATATTCATCAGACACACCAGACGAGAACTGCACCAGAAGACACTCCATTCCCAATGAATACAATGATGAATGCCAACGCAACTCAAACCAAAGTATATCGTACGCAGGACACACCAGCCCGTAACCATCAGAAGACAGTCGCAGGTTTAGCGGTTGGAGTAAGTGGAGCTATACGCGAGGCGCATGTCCCCACCGCCTTCACAGAAGCCGAGGCCGAGGGCCTGCTAGGCAACTGGAGATACTCATCACAGCGATCAGACATAGACTGCAGTCAGTAGATAC